AAACAATATTAGACATAATAGATTTTTTCACTAGGTTTTTTTGTGATTTTATGTTAAATGGCTACCCTTAGGTATGATGTATATCTATAATGCCATCCAAATAAGATAGCTACTTGGTCTAATCCAGGATATAGAAATCACTAGGGTCTTTGGTCATTGGTCAAATTATCTTCAAATCAAAGTTGAATTTAACTTGAGTAATGCACTAATTCTTGGTATGTTTCTCACTTTAGCTATTAGTGATGAATTATAGATTCATTTATAATATGAATAGATCTATGTGCTTTGTTAGAACTGCAATTTCACACATTTCCACATGTTATATCATAGAACCACTACAGTTATTTCCCCCTAAGGGAAATTCTTTAAGCCTTTTAGTCCATAACTCAAAGTATACCGCCATTCTCCTTCACAACATGTTTGGATTGAAGGAGCATGCCTTCAGCAAGCCTATCTTATCTCTTTTGATGTAGCCATCCATGAGTTGTTTCGCGTTCTTATTTCACATGTTTAATTGGTGCTATTACTCTTTTACATATTTTAATTACCTTACTTGTTCACTTATTAATGATACATCAATTTAATTCATATCCTTAACACCTTACTTAAGAAGATAAACCTCATCGCTCTATTTACCCTCGCTACTAATAACCACTCACACTCTTCCCATTATTACTACACACCTCACTCAAGCTATCCCTAACCCATTGTTAAACCCAATCTCTTTCCACCAATCTATCATCTCTACTACAGTCATCATTACACTTTCATCATATCTTTCTTTTACAGCTAACCTTTTTGAACCGTTTTACACTTCTCATCTTTACTTTGTATAAAGTCCAACCCATTGAAAATTGTCCTTTTACTTCATCTGAAGCCTAAAAATGCTCAACTATGTTTACCATTCTCGGCCCCTTACAAACACGTCCAATTAAACACCAAATAGATTCTTCCCTTCCCCTCTTAATCCATTTATTCTTTCACGCCCTCTATTATCGTCCCTAGCTCTTCCATTATTATTAGATGCCCAACTCAATCCAAACTTATTATTCAACAAACTTATTTTATTTTAAAACCCTCTATTTGCTCTTCTCGCATCTTTATTGCCCAATCAACAACTTTAGTCACTAGTTTTTAGGTTCTCGAAATCCTAACCTCTAATGAAGCTCCTTGCAACCAATTATCGAGGACTAGGTCAAGCCTCAATAGTTTGATTTTTAAAGGCTCTTGTAAATTTTTCTTGCCTTTTTATAATATTTTTTTTAGAAATTAAACTTATAGATAATCAAAAATTAAAATTAAAATTAAAATTATTATATTTTAAAATTATTTATTATATAATTTGTAGTAAATTAATTACATTATTTTTAAGATATATAACTAAAAATATATAAAAGAAATTTATGCAGAATGATCTATTTATGTATATTTTCAGAAAAAAAATTTTTTTTGAGAAATCCTCTACAGAGAAGGTGAAAATTTACAGAAGAACTAGGAAATGGATAGACACCATGGTAGTAAAAGGAATACCCAAACTATCATCGACATCCTTTGCAGAAGAAAAACACCAACCCCAATTCCACAAACCCTCATTCTAGGCCTCGTGGCCAAGAGGAGTACGAGGAACCAGAGGAAGGGGAAATTGTGGAGGACGACGACGAATCCAAGAGATCATCGACCGTGTCATTCTAGCCGCATCCTCTCGAGCATCCATGGACATTCTAGTTCAATAATTTCTCTTGCCAAATCCAAACAAGCCACAAGGGATAACTCTAGGCGGTTTGTGTATACGTTCCAAACTATTGATGTAAAGGCCCCCGAATTTTGAAATGAAATATGTGTATTAAAAAGGTCAAATGCGGAAGCGTAATAAAAATTTGATTAACATCCCTTACACTAAAACCAAAAACATGCTCAAAGTATAAAAGAACAAACTAACTAAAAGATAAACTAAAAAATAAAGCTATAAATATAACTACGGAGTCTTCAGGCGTCCCCTTCGCTGTCGTCCTGCGGAACGGGCTCGGGAACAATGTCTTCCTGATCTGAAATGATTAAATAGGAATGAGCTACACCAGCCCAGTAAAGACATCACACTATCTCACCGTCACGGAGGTAAAG